CTGGGAAAATATTTTCTCCTTCCCTCTCAAAAAGTGGAATTTCCCCACAAATGTAATCTTCCAGAAGCCCATTACAGGCAAGTTTCAGTCTTATACCAGTGACAGTTTTTCTATACATAAAAATGCCACAGTTTTAAAGCTTGGTATCTCATGATCTACAGGCCTATAAAGGCAAGTACTGTTGTATTGGGAATGGGAGATTCTTAGCAGCTTCCCAACAGTCCTTAGTACTTACTTTTAGGGCTCAAGATTTCGAGGCCCTGAGATGTCGAACTTGAAAGCTGTGACATTTTTATGTATGGAAAAGCTATTCTAAGGTTATTTTTAGCAGTGTTTTATGTTTATTGGTTTTAATTTTTCTCCTCCTCCTGGTAATTGAGGCACCTGGCTTTACAGGCCAAGGGATACAAGACATAATCCCTACTAAATATTTTTAAAAGTTCTAAATCATTCTTTCAGGAGTTTTTAATGAAACATATGTGGCACATACATGGCATCTTTTGGTATAAATGGCTTAACAAGACTTGTTTGGGACAACCCACATAAGCACACAGCTGGCATAACAAACCAGGCCAAACTCATGCTGATAAAACCATTATGGCACTCTTGTGAATGTGCCATTAGTAGAGAGATCACATCCAAGCAAACTGTATTAAAAGAATGTTACAACTGCAAAACCAAGCACTCACGTATAGGAGATGTGAGACTTAAGGTGATCTGTAGAACCTGGATTTTTCTTGGGGTTAGACCCCTAAGTGTCCCCTGGGGAGAGGAGGGTTTATGAAACATCTGGGGATATCCAGCTGGACTGCTGAGACGCTCCAGTGCTGTGCTGTGCTGTGCTGCTCTGCCAGTCAGTTCTGTGGGACTGCTAATGAGTTCCAGATGAGGAGAGAATTGGTGCCCTTTGAAGTAAAAGCCACCGCTAACAAGTGAATGACTTGCCCAGCCTTCTGTTTGTAACTGACCTCTTGCACCTTGCATTTTATTTTCACTGGATAGCTAGCAGTCAGGAAGGTTCCCGCTCTCTTTGGGAGCAAAGGCCCAGTGCCTCCTTCATCCTGGGCAGCATCCATCCCACACCCCTGCTAGCTTGTTCACTTCCTACTAGTCCCAGATATCTCCATTTCTTGGCTGCCAAGGGGTCAGCTTCAAGAGGAGGGCTTGAGAGGACTGGATAATGCCTAACCTGTGGTGGGGTAGTTAAAGAGCTTGCTGGGAAGCATGAGATGCAGGTTCAATTTCCCTTTTGGGAGGCAAGAACCTGAATTTCTTGTTCCTTGAACAAGTGCCCTATGCACAGGTCTTCTGGGCAAAAATACAGGGTGTTCCTCCCTCTCCTCCTCTATTTTGTTTCCAGCAAGTACAGAGTAATTGTATTTCACCGCAGGACAAAATAAAATCCAAAATTGTGCCTAAGTGCTAAAAGCTGCAGCTACACAGCTGTGTACCTGCCATTTAGGCACATAAAGTGGAATAGGATTTATCCCTTAGGGTCTGATTTTTCAGATTACTTGGCACTTTACAGCACTTTATATGTTCAAAGCACAGCTTCAACTGACTCCAGTTTCTGTAGTGAGTGCTCACCCCGCCCTACAGTTGTCACTGCAGCTGTCTTGTTGGGCAGCCTAAAAAAATGGAGTGCAATTAGTGATGAGTTGTTAACGTAGTGGTTTATGTAATCTAATTAGAAGAACAGAGAAACTGTAGGACAGATGCAGGGAAATAATCTAGTTTTCTGGAGTGCCTTTCATCTGCGTTAAGTGGCACATTGTCCTTTTTCTTGCTTTGGTCCTCTGCCTGATTAACTTACACCCCTCCCACTTTTGCTGCCCCCTTTACTACATGAGCTTGATTAATTCCTTGACCAGGTCCACCACGCTTTTCACATACCTGACTAATATAAATTGTATAAAGAATCCTGGGAGCAAGGCTTGAAGTCAAGATTCCCCTCTCATCACAGTTACAAGGTTGTCCCCTTGGGTTGAGGAGAGCTAAACATCCAGATCTCCTGCTTGCTAGGTTAGTGCTCTAACCATTAGACTATTGTGCAAAAGGTGGGTGACACTGCCTCCTCCCCTTCCACCTCCTTCTGCTGTGTTTTCTAATAAACTGCGTGCATACTGTTGTCGTCAGTCACCAGGTATGCTCTGTGACTGCCTGAGGCTCTGGGAATTTAGGGGCCTCCCACCACTGATCTACTTGGCAAAAAACCTTCAATGGGAGTGAGATACGTAGGTAGCTCATCTGGATCACTTCTGTGTGTGTGTGTGTGTGTGTGTGTAGCCCAAGTACTGACACCTATGGATCTTATCAGGCCAAAATGGAGGTGTCCAAGATGTTTTGTAGCTGCTGAAGAAGGATAAATTAGAACTACTTTCTGTGATATAGGCACGAAAATTCTGCCTGAATCCCATAAAAATATTATGGATCTGTCTTTATGTGAACTAAGTGGATCAGGCCTTGAGTCTTTCCAGAAAACATGTGAATTGTGATTTTTCAAAGCCTGATAACCTGGCCAAATAGGTGTCTTTTCACAGGGGTAGCAGAAGGTGAGTCTCTGGAGTCAGAGCAAACTTCTCACCAAGGCTTGGGACGGAAATTACACATAAACCAATATAAGTGATTGGAAACAGGTTCAAATCTGTAAAACTGCAGGGCTAGGGACAGACAATACACATAAACCAGTTTAAATGATCAGAAACTGGTTTAAACCTGTAACAGAACAGACATTCAGTGCACATAAACCAGTTTCAAAATGGCTGAAACCAGTTTGAGATACATCTGGTTGAATGTAGTATCAGACGTAGCCAATTTGGCTCTAACCGGTTTATCTCTTACCTTGCTGGTTTAAGATAAACCAGAGACCCCCAGCACCTCACCATGCTCTCTGGGCTGGGCAGGGCTCTCTTCTCCAGCCACCGGGCTGGCCCCACCCCTCCGGTCTCTAGCCGGAGTAGGGACTGGCCCTAGCAGAGACACCAGCGGCCATGGCTCCATTAAGGCAAAGTGAGCAGGGAGGGGGTTAATTCTTCCCTCCTTCCCCTCTTCCCCAACTGCAGCTGGGGTAAGCCTGTCTGCCGGGGAGCAGAGGGGAGGGGGCTGCAGTGGTGGCCCATGGAGCTGGCAGACCCCGGCTGCAAGAAAAGGAGGAGAGAGGAATGAATTGTTTTAACTGCCCCCTTCACCATAATGGGGGCATGGTAGGCAGGTTGTCCCACAGGGTTGGGAAGAGGGCTCTGTTCCATGCTGGGGGGGAACTCTTTCCTCTCTTCTCCCAGCATGGGGACAGGGTGTCTGTGCTGGGCATAGGCAAAGAGTATGTGGGCCATGGGGGGGGGCATGTGCCCCCTTGAAAAGCCACTGCCACCCATGGTGCCTGTGGGAGCTTGCCAGCTCTGGCCCTGCCACCAATGCCAGTGGCAGTGCCTGTGGGTGCCCCCCCCCCAGACTTGGGAGGCATCAGTCACCCACGGCACTGGGGGTGAGGAGCACAGCCCCGCACAGCGTGCCCAGCCCCTTCTATCCCTGCAGCTCCGCACTGCACTTGCAGCTCACTCTCTGATGGAGAAGCCCCATGCTGGACTCTGCAGGGATACAGGGCGAGGCTCCAGTGGCAGGTTTAGAGTTAGTGGGGCCCTGTGTGCAGTTTCATTTTTAGGGCTCCCCCCACCACCGGGACGCAGCCAAAAAAAAAACGTTCTCTCTTATCTCCCCCTGTTTTTCATTCATTCTTTTTTTCTTCATCCTCCTCCTATACGATAAGTAAAAGGAAATAAATTAAAATAAAGTGAGGCACCTTGATTGTTTTTGTAGTCTAACTTTTTTTTCCACAGACCACTTGAAAATTGCTGAGGATAACAGCGGACCACTTAATGATCTTTTCAAATGTTGTTTGTACCATTAGCTAACTATTGTAAAGTGCTTTGGATAACAGTGCTTTATTAAAAAAACTTAATAATCTTTCCTCGGTCCACCTGAATGGAATTCTCTAACCACAGTTTGAGAACTTCTGGTCTAGATGAAAGCTTGAATTTGCATTATGCTAACATGAAAAATGTGTAAAAATAAAAGTATAGATGAGGTATGAATGGAAAAAAGCTTCCTCTGAAGAAAGTTATTCGATTTGAAATATATATATATTTATTCAGATAGCTTTTTTCTATACTTTTTCTTTACAAAATTGTCAATTAAGTCATCATAAGTAATATTTTGTAAAGAGGCACTTTCAATTGTCAATATTGCTGAACATGTCAAACGTTCCTGACTCATTGTATTTCACAAATCATTTTTAACTTGTTTCAATACAGAAAAAGAATGTTCACAAGATGCATTTGTGACAGGTATTGCTAAAAATATTTTCAGAATGTTTTCTACATTTGGAAAGGTTGCCTGTGAACTGTCATGTACAAGTCTATGCAAATTAACTGGTGATCTCGAAGCACAGACCTCATCATTTTTGGTAAAATGAATGAAATGTTTCACTTCATCTTCAGAAAGATTTGTGTCCGTGTCCTCTCAGTAGAATTCACTTAATTTCTTACTGTAGTGGCTTTTAGCATTTTTGTCCATATTTCTGTCAAGAAACACACAAAATAAATCAAGTTTTCTACTCTGCAATTGCACTATTATTGGGTCACAAATAACATTGACAGTCTCAACGATAATCTTCTCTTTCCCTTTTAAATTGATTTCATTGTCTCTGCTTTCATCAAAAAATAACTTCCTGCTTTTTTTTTTTACACTTCTGATCAGATATATCAGAGGAACCTATATTTTCTGTTAATGTTAGTGCCTCTGCTTCCACCGAGCTATAGTCATTTCAAACTTCCATGACAAAACTTTTAACTGAGGCTAAAAATTATGCAGCATTCAATAAATTTGTATCAACCTTTTGCAGTGATTTGCTGATGGCATTCATTCTTTGAAGTAAATGGTTCCACAAAAGAGTAAAAACAGCAATATCGTACCTTTCAAACTTTTCTGCTAAGGATTTTACTTCAGTTTTTGCATGCAGTTTTTTTAGAATTTGATGTAGCTATGTCTAATAAGGTTTTCTTTACATCATAATAGCTCATTTTGAAAGCCAAAACAGCATCTGCATGAGCAGACCACTTGGTGTCACAAATTCTTTTCACTGTCAAATGTTTTTCATTTGCCTGCTCCAGGCATGATTGTAGCATACTCCACCAACACATGGAAACTGAAAAAAAGGCATCCATGTTTTGAATGATGTCAAAAAAATGCGTAGCTCCCTCACAAGATTTGGCTGTAGCATTGCTGATTAAATTTAAGGAATGGCTGGAACATGGTATGAATAAAGCAGAGAGGCTTGTATTGTTCAGTCTTGCCTGTAGACCTGAATATTTTACTGCCATATTTGCGGCATTATTAAAGCTCTGCCCATGACAATTTTTGATGCCCAAACCTAAATGTGCAATGATTTCCAAAACAGTTGTCTCTAGACATTCAGAAGTGTGGGATTTTAGTGGGAAAAAACAAAGAAATCGCTCTACAACTTCACCACTGCTGGTCACATATCTTAAAATTAATGTTAATTGGTCTACATGACTCACATCTGGTTTTGAATCGACTATTATGGAATAGTACTTGGCACCCTTTACTTCATCAGTGAATTGGTTTCTGAACTGCTCTGCCATTATAGTGATTAATTCATTATAGGTTTGGTGTGTTAAAAAGTTGGTCTTCCCTGAGCCACAATACTGATAATTTTTCAAATGTTCTTTGAGAAAATCATCAAATTCACTAAGATAGTCAAGGCCGGTTAAAAAATTACCTTTTCTATTTGACAATGATGACTCATCATGTCCTCTTAAAGGTAGTCCCAAAGAAGACAGCATTTTGACCATGGCAACAACACATCTCAGCACTTCCTCCAATAAGAACGCTTCTTTTCAAACTGAGCCGATAACACAGAATCAATTCTTCCAGATAACTTACACCTTTGAACAAACTTACACAAAGCACTGATATGAACTTTGGAAGTCTGATGATCAGCAATATCTCTTGCAATGTTTCTTCAGATAGAGTGCCCATCAATGAATGTTTGTTTTCCTTTCCTTATGGTCAGGGAATAATTTGCAAACATAACAGTAGACTGCCTTAGTGGTTTCCAAAAAAATCAACCAAATTCTCATTTCTGTCATCCCATTTGTCTTCATCCTCAGAAAATGGTACTCATGAAGACCTCTAAATTGCTTTTGTCCTCCAACCTCATACTCTTTTCTCAAATTTTCCATGGTATCTAAGTTTTTCAGTTTATTTACTAAGAAATACTTTCATATCCAATGAAACAGATTTTGGCCATAATGCAATGTCTTCAGGGTAGATTTATTTCATTACTTCAACAAAATTACCAATATTTTGTAATTCCATTGTCAATTTAGAGTCCACTTGTTCAACTTTTGCAGTTGTTGTGGTATTCCCACAACTCAGCAAGTGATCAGATAAGTCAGATGTTTCCTCGCCCATACTTTTTGATGAATGTCCACTATTCAATATTTCAAGCTTTTTAAAATAAGATGACAAACTGTCTTTTTTCTTAGCTTTGTCTTCTTGCCTCAACTTCATTTTTTTGTGTTTTTAACTGCCAGACTCATAGTGTCACTTCATTATTGCTAAAAAACTGACCTTGATTTTAGGCAAATTAAAAATGTCTGAAAGAGCAGGAGAATAGCCACGGGTGGGCTTGGGTGGGCCACGGACCACCAAATTGGGTTTAATTCAGTTAATTCCACATTTTTATCAGACTCTGTAAACACAGGATTTTGAACCATTACATACTAATGACAAATCACAGGCATTGTTGCAAACTGTGGGGCAGGGTGCTTTTGTTCAACTGGATAATGGTTAAGCAGACACATTTTGATTGGCAAATGATGATTTCCCTTAGCTGCTCTTATGCTATTACTGAGACAGCAAAAAAGTGGCAAAGCAAATTCTTTGCTAGATTACTTCAAAAAACCACGTTTAGAGCACAGTTCGCAGAATACAGAAAGCCTGGACCATTTCACGACTTGCAGCATTTATTAAGTTCAATCATTTGTCAGATTTGTCCTGCATTTTGGGACCCCCCTGTCACTGGGGGTCCCGTGCCACTGCACGGTTTGTTCCATGGTAAATACACCACTGGGGGCTCCCTCCAGTCCTGGCAGATTGCGAATGTGGGACTGCACAGTGGGGAGTGGGGGAAGCACATGGCTCCAGCGCTGGAGCTGCAAGCTCAGGCTCAGAGCCCTGGTGGGGGATAAGGCAGGCTCCATACTCTCCCCCAGCACAGAGCTGGCCAGAACCACACCTGCACTGGGCACAAACAACCTGACCTCTCCGCCTGCTGCTGCTGCCAGGCAGCAGGGGCTGCAGCCATGAAGGAAGTGTGCAGGGGTCCCTACACCCTTCACCCACACATCCCCACCTTGTTCAGCTGAGCTCCATGCTCCCACTGCCCCTCTGTGGGGAGGAAAAACAAGGGGAAGAGTTTCACCCTAGCATGGAATAGAGCCTTCCCCTGCCCTGGGGGTGGGGGAGAGGTCGGGGGGAGAGCCCCACTATGGGCCTGGGCAGCCTCACAGAGCCCCCCTCCCCACGCCATGCTGTTGGCAGGGGAGGAGGAGGGAACAGAGCCTCACAGGGCCCCCTTCCTGCCCCAGCAGCAGTAGGGGAGAAGGAGGATAGGAAAGAGTTCCTTTCTGGGGCCGGGCAGCCCTGTGTGCCTGAATTGCTCCTGGCTCTCAGGGAGCCGCTGGGGCCTGGCCATGCCCCTCTCCTCAGCTCAGCTTGCCTGTGGAAGGGAAGGGAGGGCTGCTTTAGCACCCCCGGGCTTCTGGCTTGAGACACTGCAGGCATGGGCCAAACTTCTATCCACTTGTAAACCTGTTCACTCTCTGCAGGTTAGACTAACCTGCAAAGACTGAATCAATTTGGACTTTTTGAATGTCTGTCCCTAGCTCTGAAGTTCAGTGCACATAAACTGCTTTCAAAATGGCTGAAACCAGTTAAAGATGAACCTGGATGGATGTAGTCTGAGACTTAACTGATTTAAGTTGAATTGGTTTATTGAACTTCTGTCCCATATCCCCTTCAGCTTCAAGTTAACTCACAGCCCCCCAGCATGCCAGGATGCTTTGTACCTCCCCTGCAAGCCCCCTTCCCCCGCCCCATCGGGGGGTGGGGTAGCCTTGGCCCAAACTGTCTGCTCCAGCTGAGCAGGGAGGCATGCTTTAGTGTCTCCTGGCTTCTGGCAGGCATGTGGCTGCATTTCCAGAATAAAAAGTAGATGTCTATTCACTTGCTTCTTGGTTCAATCTATGCAGTTTAGCCTAACCTGCGAATACTGAACTGATTCAGCCTCAGGCTTTTTGACTGTCTGTACTTAGCCCAAATGTCAAATCCCAAATTAGGAGGGTGCTAGAGTGTCCCCAAAAATGGCTGAAAGATTCATTTTAAAGCAACCCCCCTGTATTTTCCCTTAATCTTTCCTAGAAACAGCTGAAATTATAAATATTTTAGATGAAATTTAAAAATATTATAATCGCAGGCAGAAACTGAGTACAGAAAATTTCAATTGGCATAGGAAAATTGGCAACATTATAAGCAACTGAAAAAGTGCCTTCAAATAGGAGGACTCAGGCAACCTGAATTCTAGGTATAGATACCATGTCTGCATGTAGTCCATATTCTATAGAACATGAAATAAGGGATGGGTCTTAAATAGAATACCAGATTTAAAATTTGGTCAAAAATATCCTGATCTTTAAACAGAAGTATTTCTCTTTTTCCTCCTTCTCTTCTACTTCTTATAACTTTATACAGCACCCAAAACTGAACTAGGCAAGGGTTACAAATATAAGATCATGAGTTAACTTTGGCCTGAAGGGTTTGTTTTGTTTGTTAATGTGTTCATTGTATTAATTAAAGAATGTATTTGGTGACAGGGGAGGAGGTTGTTTTAGTTGGAAATGGGACAGAAGGGACTGATGAGACGTGATTGCAGGATAGGGGAAAGGAAGCAGGGAGAAAAAAACAAAATCATTGGGCAGGGAAAGTGCATATTGGCAAGTGCCATACTAGAACACTAGACCTAAATGCTCTCGTTTTCATCTCTCCGTGAGAAAATATAAAATGTTATTGCCTTCATTAATTTGTTTTCAAGAGTCACAGATTATAAAATGATTTTGTCTGCCAAATCTGTATATGGATTTGGAATGTTACAGCCAAGCCCTAATTTATAAGAGTTAAAGTTGGTAATGCCCAAGTATTTTCAGCTATTTCAATATGAGTATTCATTGGTACTCATATTACCAATTGATATTACATCTTCACTAAGTGAGGGAAGGTCTACATTTCTTTACCTTTCCTTGCTGTCATCCTGAAGGGTAGACCTAGTAATTCTATAATCTAGCCCACAGAAATTAGATATGGAAATACTAGATCAGATCTTATGTAGTATGATCATAGCAGGTAATAGTAGATCATATCTCCTTCAAAATGCAGAATTCTTCTTTACGCTATATCCTCTATAATGTTGTCCAATCTAGTGTTAACATTTACAAATGCTAGGGCTTCCATCACTTTGTTGAAGACAAGGAGGCAGGTAGGGAGGAAGGTGGAAAGAGCTTATCCTAGATATGAACAGGGGTTAGGAAGCTTGGGAAGCATACTTGGGATTGGATGGAGGGTTTGCTCTTATGGGCAAGGAGGTGGGAGTTAGAGGGGAATGCAAATTTGGGGGTTTTGTTGAGAAGTCTCCTGTTGTTTCTTATCTGTGTGTTGTTTGTAATGTATGTAAGCCACTCTAACCCTTTCTGGATAGGGCAGAATCTAAACAACAACAACAACAACAATAATAATAATGATGGTGACTATGATGATAAGAATAATAGCAGTAGTAGCAGTAATAATAATAATTCGAAGGTGTAGAAATTTTGCATTTCTCCATTTCAGCCCAGTGCTCCCAATTCTTCTGTATATAAGTCTCCTTTCTTGGTATTTATACCTTTTGGGCCAGATCAAAACAAAGGTGAGTAATCCATAATGGCAAATTATACCATAGAAGAATTAATAGAATTAGCCAGTTTATTGTATGGATAATATATTTGTGTCTACAGGGGAAGTTGGCTTTTATTAGCGTGTGAATCTCTGGGCATGTCTAAATGTGCTATTAATGCACAGTAAGGAGTCTACACATGCCCCTGCTTCAGAGAAAATTTGCTCCTAATGGGAACAGTTGAGACTAGAGATGCTTCTGCTCCCCTGCCCTGCTCTGCCCCACTGAAGCAGCCAGGGGGAATTCCAGGATGCTCCAAGTGCCAGCCCAGGCCTGGCAGGCCACATGGGGTTGGCCCTGGTCCCCATGTGGTGGGAAGAGCTGTCCCATGTGATCAGGTAGGGTCCCCACTGTGTGGGAATACCTCTCCTGGCCACAGTTCTCCCAGCCACAAAGGGATAATGATGGTCCCAATCCCCATGTGGTGGGGAGACAGCTGCCCTGCAGCCAGCACAGCTCCCCCCACCCCCATCAGGTGTTAGCCAGGCAGCAGCAGGTCCCCTGATGCCAGGATGACCAGAAGCAAATTGCTCCCAGTCAGAATCTACTCCTTCACTTGCACAGTAGCTAACACACAGTTAATCTACTACTTGCATTTACAGGCAATAAAAAACTGAGCATTAGCCTAATTAACTGCACAATAGCTGTTGCGCACAGTTACATGGTGATGCCTTACTGCGTAGTACTACTACTGCTCAATAAATCATCTCAGGTAGATGCACCCACTGTGAACTTTCTCTGCATTAAGTATTCTGAACTGGGGATGGATACACCATGCTACTTGTCTTAGTGCTGGGGCTGATGCATCATGGAATTTTTTCCCACAGTTCACTGTGGAATATATAGCAAAAGAAAGCCAAAGGCAACTGTAATCCTGGGGCTTGGGTCAAGCTCACAAATTCCCTTAATATCTTTCCTGCCCAGGAGCAAGTTAATACCATTTTCAGCCTATGAGTGAAGCAGTACTTGCACCATGATGGTGGTCACTTGAGAATATCAGGAGCTTGTGGAGGAATATCTGACACCTGGTTGCTTGCTGAACAACTTTAAGTTTTCAAGACAGTCACCACACTGCCCAGCAGTTCGGGCAGGCATTCTGGCAGCAGCAGCAACAGCTAGCTGACCTGCAGCTGCATGTTAAGAATGAGGAGGAAGTCGATGACATAGACCAGCTGCTTCTGAAGGAAGTTTTCTTGGATCAGCTTCACTTGCTACAGCACCATTTCTGGGCTAAAACAAATGGCAGTGGGTGGGAGAGGACTTTGCTCCAGACGTGTCTGCAGAATTTCAGAATGACAGAGGACACTTTTCTGGAGATCTAAATAGAGCCTACTTCAAAACTGCATCAGCAGCCTATAAACGCAAGTTACCTGAACTGTTCAGAAGTGTGTGGCCATCACCCGCTCAAAACTCATCACCTTCTCAAAGCTCACCACCCCTCCGGTTGCTGTGGGTCAGTAGATAATCAATTTGGTGTAGGCAGAGTACCTGTTGGGGCTGTTGCAATGAAGGTATGCACTTGTAT